TATGTCACCCTTCCCTTCTCGTGCTCCATGGTTTGTGGTAGTTTTTACAATTCCACCGCAGCACCCTTATAGCACTCTCATGCCACCGGCATGCCATCACATAGGTTTCGCCTATGCATTCTACCTAGTTCGTGACGGTCTTCTATTCTTTGTTGTGCCATTATTGCACATTCTTCTTTTGCATTCTAATCATTCTTCTTGTGCATTCTCCATAATAATGGTTCTTGTTGCACGTTTTGCCTACCAATAGGTAAATCCATTAATTTTTTTTATTTCGCTATTTACTTAGGGGGTGAAGAAATAGGATACTAGAATTGGAGTAGGAAATAAATCATTTTTATTATTTGTTTGAATTAAAATTCATCATGGAGGAGGAATAGGAAACTTTTTATTACTGATTCACGTTAAATCCTAATAAGTAACATATTTGAATAAACAAGTCCTAATCAAAATGAATCATCCTATAATTGAAATTAGAATAGTGACTTTCACGTGCCAATATTTATAGTTAAGCTTAATGTGCTAGTGAACTCGGATTGGGCACCTATGAATCAAATCAAAGGTGTAGTAAATAAAATACTTGTACTTATGCTTAACAAACCTTTCTTTTATTGAGTATAGATCTTTCTTACCAAACCTTATAATCCTTTCTACAATAGTGTTATCTCCTTTTACCTTTTCAAGTATCATAGAAGTAAGTTCCTAACAATAATTATTTTCTCTCAATATTAAATCATAGTGAGAAGTTTAATTATTGAATCGTGGCTAATTATTTTAGCTTGTCAAAATATTCCAACTTTAATTATTTCACTTATATGATTTTAATTATTTTAACATAATAAGAAAATTTTGAGGTTTAATTATTTCAACTTTAATTATTGCACTATGGAATCTTTTGAGAATTTGTTAGATGAAAGTGTTGAGGTTAATGATGATGTAGACCAAAATAATATATCAACTAACAAAGAAGATGAGCTTGGTGAGTCTAAAATGCCAATTAAAAGGTGTAGGAATCTTTTATCTTCTGTGTAGAGTTATTTTGAAAAATCTGCTAATTAAACATCTTGGTGGGAAAATGAGGGCTAAATGCAAGTATTGTAAGAAAGACCTTATGGGTGGTGGGAGTCTAAGTGGAACTTCAACTTTTATTCTTCACGTGAAAAGATGTGAGAATAGGCCAAAAACACTTGTTGATTCCGATGTTGGGAGACTAGTGCTTGATCATTCTGGGAAAATAAGAAGTAGAATAATTGAGGTTAAATGACATTATATCTATGATGATAATAGAACATGATCTCCCATACTCTTTTGTAGAATATAAAAGGTTTAAAGATTTGATACAATATTCACATCCTGATGGTAAGATACCCTTCAGGCGTGTTGCCACTTCAAATGTAAACAAAATGTATGAGCGTGAAAAACAAAAATTGAAACTAGTGTTGTCTAAACTTCCAAATAGAATAAAATTGACTTCATATGTGTGGACTTCTTGATGGAGAAGGTGAGGAGGAGTGATAGTTGACTTCTCCTTAGCTACTCCTTAAACTCGGATCTTCTTCAAAGGAGATTGAAAACGAAATGATAAACCAAAGAAGGAGGAAGTATCACGGATGGAACAAGGCTTAAGCCTTGGATGGAAGCATCCAAGCTTAAGGTGCAAGGGAAAGCTCACTTCAAAGAGGAGGAAAACCTAGTAGGGTTCCTAAGGTGAAGCTTTCTCTCATGGTGACTCTTGAACGAAATTTGGCTGAATAAGCTCTCAAATTTCATTATTCTCAAAAGTGAATACAATAGGTGAAGGAATAGCTTAAGTAGCAATCGGTTTTGCACTTTTTTGGGTGCCTAACTCAAAGGTGACATGTGGCGCCCAAAATTTGAATTCAAATTTTGGCTCCCATGTGTTACTTCGAAATTTTAGGTACCTAATGTGCATCTAGGTCTGATTTGAGAGTCATTTAGGGTTAATTTGAGTGTCACATGTTCAGCCACCAATGGTGCAAAACATGTGACTCAAATGTAACTTAAATGGCTTCCAAATTAAACCTAGTTTAACCTAATTAGCCTACTTTAGTATTCCTTGTATTTTCCTATTCTAATGACCTAAATACATTGGTCCAACAATTACAATGGAAAGGAAAAATTACAAGAATGAAAATGAGCCCAATATTGGGTACCAAAAGCCCAAAGGCCCATGAAGCCCAAAACTAGGCCCAACAAGCCTAAAACCTAAAATGCTACTCTATGTGGTCCAAAATACAAGACCAAAATATATGATACCTATACTAACATGATGTATACAAAACATATGAAAATAGCTATAACAAAATATGGCCCATGAAAAGTTCAACTTGGGCCTTCCCAGGCCCATCGGGCCCATTGGGCCTTGACTGGCCCAAACCTTCATGTCTAGCCAACTCCTCTTGGCTCCTTCAATATGTCACCTCTTGCCTTCCTAGGCATGATTCCATCAATCACTTCTTGTAATATAGAAGGTTATATTTCATTGACTGCACACTATGTTGATCAAAATTGGAGGTTGAATAGCAAAATGCGTAATTTCTCTCATTTTCCTCCTCCACATTTCGGACTTGAAATGGCTAAAATCATATATGGTTTCTCGGAAGATTAGGGGATTGAGAGAAAAATATTTTCATTAACTTTGGATAATGCTTCTTCCAATGACAAAATGCAAGATTATTTGAAGGAAAAACTTCTTTTGCAAAATGATGGTTTATTGTGTGGTGGTGAATTTTTTCATATTCGGTGTGTTGCTCACATTTTAAATCTTATAGTTCAAGAAGGATTGAAAGTTGTTGGTCAAGCTATTAATAATATTAGAGAAAGCATCAAGTATGTTAAGGGGTCAGAGGGAAGAATAAGGTCTTTTAAAGCTTGCTTTGCTAAAGTGATGGAAACCTTAGGAGAGACTAGATTGATGTAGTTCCTCCTTTAACCTTCTTGGATGGATCTTTAACTTCTTGGGCTCCTTCAAGCTCCTTCAATGGCTTCTTATGATGTTAAAAGCCATGTCTGACACACATGGAAAAGGTAGGATCTCCCTTAGGTGACGCCGCACTCTTGAAGAGTGATAAGTCTCTTTAAATTCTCACCACACTCTTAGGAAGAGGATAAGAGAATTGAAAGAAGTTTCAAAGAGAAAGAAACAAGCTTTGAGAGATAATTAGAGAAAATTTCATCCAATTCATTAATATGCTCAAAACTATCATAAAATGGGTACAAAGATACAATATATAGAGTTTAGTTGGCTTATGGTGCAAGTTAGATTAACCATGGTTAACTATCTTGTACTTAAGCTAACTAACTCTAGTTAAGTGTTTATAAGTCTAGTTAGTTGTCTAGAAACTTATGGAGCAAACTCAGCTAATCCTAGTTTAAGAATAACCCAGGTTAGCTTAAGTTAACTCTAACTACCTAACCTAATCATTATAACTAGTACACTAATGATTACTTTTAACAAGTTGTTGAGATGTCATTATCAAAGCCATGTGACTTAATTTGTAGCTTGGATGACAATCTTGGCATGGTTTGGACGTCTAAACCACTTGCAGAGGAAGTGGACATCCAAACCTAGGGTCATAAAAAGATTTTGGATCATCCATGCCCAAATAAGTCTAACAAGACTTAGCTAATTACACCTTCCCTAATCTACTAATTACACTCTTAAGTAAAAACAAAAATATATAAGAACAAAATTATCTACACTACTTGACCCAAAATACAAAGTCAAAATAAAGGAAAATATTTACAAGGAAAATATACAAAAAAGAAGAACAAACTATGAAATAAACCTATAGTTCAACAAAAGCTTAAGCCTTCTACCTTCACCTTGAGTCCACTCCTCTTGCATTCTTCTTGACATTGCTCTTGTTAAAAGTCTTATAGCCTTCAAGAATGGTTTTCCATCATAAAGTTGGTGGTATTAATACAAAGATGGGTTTGTGTTTAGATGTTGTTACTAGGTGGAATTCAACCTTTTTATGCTTGAGAATGCACTTTTGTATCGGCGTGCTTTTACTAGTCTTGCATTTGAAGATAGAAGTTATTTGAATTGTTCTACTAATGAATAGTGGGATAGAAAAGAAAAAATGTGTGAATTTTTACGTCTGTTCTATCAAATCACTAAGTTGATATCTAGTTCTTCTTATCCCACATCTAATTTTTATTTCATACAAGTGTGAAAAATAGAATGCTTGTTAATTAAAAATGTTTCAAATGAGAATGAGATAATTAGAGTTGTGACAAGTGAAATGAGAGGGAAATTTGATAAAATTGGAGTAAATATAGCCTTGTGTTTTCCTTTGGATGCATTTTAGATCCTCATTTTAAGTTTGAATTTTTGAAGTTTTGTTATTCAAAGCTTAATCTTAATCCAATGGTTTGCCAAGGAAAGTTGAAAGTTGTGAAGCACAAATTATATACTCTATATAATGAATATGTTGAGTTGTATTAAATAAATAAAAAATAACTTCCAATATTGGTTCATCACAAGAAATTTCATCAATTAATAATTTTGTTAAAAGAAACTAATCGTATGATCTATTTTATTTAAGAACATTACTGTGTTACAATGACATAATAACTAAAATGACTAAAATATCTTTATATCAAAGTCATAATATAGATAAAGAATTGATCATTAAAACTAATTCTAAATAATTAATACTTGTAACTTTTAAAATTATGTTTTGAATTATAATGAGATTTGGAAAACTTTTTTTATTTGATTGCATGTAGAATGAAATTTTTTACTTAAATATTGATCTTTATTAATTTGTTGTGGACACATTTTGCCAATCACTCGACGAAGTTTAGGCTAATATGGATAATAAGAGTAGGACATCATAACTTACTTTTGTCTCTTTATATCTCAATCGGAAAGTCATTTTACATATTCTTTAGATTTGATATCCAAGTTTACATTATACACATTTACATTTGAGTTATTCAATCAAAAGAAAAATAAAACTGTATAAAAGAAATATCCTATAAACCACACTATAATTAATTAGTTTCATGATTTCTCTTTTCTAGAGTATACAAAATATTTCATTGGTGGAGTATTAATATTCCCACGCTTATTTGAAGCTATATATAAAAATGTAAGTGTTTTGTTTTATACAAGCTAGTCTAAACATGATTTTCAGTTAGCTGTATAAGTGGGTCCATTTGCTGCGTCCATTGTAGCAGCATTCGAATTATCAAGTGTATGCTTTGCAAGTTCGTTATCAACTCTTTTTCCTGCCTTTGCTACATGTAGATCCATTGCTGCTTCAGCTTCTTTTGCCAACCTAACCTCGTGAGCTACATCCATTCTGGCTTTGGCAATCTCTTTCTCAGCCTGCAAAACCATAACAATACCCATATTTGTGTTTCAAAATGTTAAAGCTAGAGTGCCCACTTTGTTTATTAAAATAAATGAGGAGTGAATAAACCAATTATGTGATTAATTAAATGGACATTGATCCCAATAATGTATTATATATATATATATATATATATATAGACAGATATATTCTCCATATATATTGGTATGATGGTAGACTAAATATGGTTTAGGTAGTTAGGTAACATATTGTCTACAAGTAGAGCCACATAACTTAGGGGAAAAAACACTTCAATGGAAGCATGTTTAGGGAAGTCATTGAAAGTTTGTAAAGAGAAAAAAAAAATGCGAATTTTCATTGTTTTATAACCAATATTACAGAAAAGACAAAATTAAAATTCTCATAATAAGAGTATAACCAATTTATAATTTATTAAATGAGTTAGTCTTCACAGACACTATATTTATTAGAAATTTCACAATAAAAAAGAAGAAAATGATGGTCTAAATCTTATATCTGTGTGTGAATTAATAATATTTCTTGACCAATGTTATTTTAATTAACTGAGTTTTGTCTTTCTTAATATAGTCTTCTATCAAGAATAGAACCATTTAAAGTTATACTTAAAAAATAAAATAAAATAACTCAACTATCTATACCTATTGTGGTGTAACTTGTTAAAAGGTTAAATCATATATATTGAACAAGCAAAGGTAAATTTGTCTAAATTTTCTATAGCATTGGAGTGATAAAAAAAAATGTTTGTTAAATTGCATGTAACGATCTAATCAATGTCTTAGTTTATCTCTTTTCTTTTCTTCTCTTGTCAAATCATTTATCTTTTGCCTCCTAATCCAGAACTATATATGAGCATTAACAATACAATGTTACAGCACCTTTTCTTCAGCCCTTGCTTCAGCCTTGGCCTTACGTATGGCATTCATATCCTGTAGCTTTTCCTTTACAGCTTGCATTTTTCCTAATGTTTTGTGACCTTCTAATTCAATGTTACAGATATATATCATACATTAATGCTCTCTCTATATATATACATCATAAGAAACACAACTATCTAATTAATTATGGGTTCTAATTAATTGTCTCAATCTCTTTCTCTCTCTCTCCTTTATGGCTCTTTGGGTGAGCAAGTGTCACGATAAACACGTTTGGATAATTTTGTGGATCACACTGAATGGAAGAAAAGGTCATTTTGTGGATCATAGAAACGAAGAATCAACGTTGTCCATAATTGTACCTCATTAATTATTAACAGTAACAGTAAAACTGTTGAGAGTACGAACGGAGTGAGGCAAAAAAATTGACGTGTATACGTTGGCGGGTCCATGCATTTGATGAATAGGACAAAATAATACATAAAATTCTCTTGTGGTCGTGGCTAAGTCTAGCCATCCAAGGCCATTGCCTTAGGACGGATCCCTCTAAAGTTGGCTTTTTAACCCAAAAAAATAATTAAAAGAAAAACTATTTTGTAAAATAAAATTAAAAAAAAATTAATTATCAAAATAAATACGTAAGATGAAAAAATCATCATCGGAAGAAACAATTTCCAAAAAATGTCACAGCCGGTGACGCCTTGTGGGCTTGCGGCGTAGAAAGCAAAAAACGCCAACTTTTTCTGACGCTTCCTTCATCTGTTGCCGTGCTCAGAAAATGAAGAATAAATCATCAGTCTCGCTAATCAATTGATGCAAAGTAAAATTAAGAGTTAATGATTTATATACTGTTAGTTGTAAAATTTTTCTATACCAGTAATTAATTATATTTTTTAATAATGTCATTTTATTTGTTTATTTAATTAAATAAAATAAAATAATTTAAAAGATATAATTGATTGTTGATGTAAAAAAATTTATATTAACCGTATATGGATTATTAATTCTAAAATTAATTCATTAATTGCCTCTATGAACATATAGTTGTTTGTAGACAAGTTAATAACAACTGAATTATAAGAGCAAGGCCATTCTTGGCATTTTATAGCTGATCAACTAAATTAATTTACAAATTCGAAAACATACACTTGATTACATGGCGACCAAAAAGATTGTACTAAAAGTTGTTAAAGAAAGAAGCCAAATTCAGAGGGAACTTCAGTGGTGCTGAAAACATGCATTGATGCGTCAGAAAATTAAATTTGCAATGAAATAAATAGTCCATTAAATTTTTTTTTAATTAAATTGAAGTTTAAAAAATGTAAGTTTTGTTAAGTTTAAAAAAATTATATTTTGTTATTTTCATGTATATTTTGTAATTTTTATGTTATAAATTTTTATATCTGGAAAATATGTTGATGATTAAAATTTAGTATATGTGAAAATATAATTTATGAAGTGTTAAAATTTAGTATAAGATTATTTGGTTAAGGTTTAAATTAATTTGTGTTTAATTGTAATTTTTTTATGTATAATAACAATATTTGATTGTTTGCATTTATATTTTGATCATTAGTTATAATTTTAATTTAGAATTAAATTAATTAATTTGTATAAAAAATAATTTAATTGAAATTAATTTTTTTATTTGTTAAATTGAAATTTATTAAAAACTGAAGTTTTTATAAGTTTTTAAAAATATTAGAACTTGAAAATTAGTGTTAATAGATACATGATGAAAGTAACCCCAAGCGTGTAGTTCAGTGGTAGGGGGTTGATCCACGCTTAAGCAAGGTCAGGGGTTTGAATCTTGCCTTGTGTATGCAGTCACGTTAAATCTTGGGACCAACTATCTCAGTCTTTGAGCTATTTGTGGAGTATTTAAAAATAAGTTGAATTAAATTTAATAAGGATGGAAAAAAAAATTATACTCATAAATTAATATTTTTTATATTCTATATTAAAATGTAAATTTTTTTCGTTATTATTTTCAAAAAGAAAATCATCCACAAAATGTCTACATAGATGACATTTTTTGACCAAAATCTATGCTACAAGGCATCTAGCATAATATCGTTTTCGTTTGAAGAATTTTGGACACAAAACGTCCACCATGGTTATGTTTTCCCTTATACATGCATGCATCTACCCATGTCTAAAAAAAACGTCGCATTTAATGATGTTTTTTGCATCCTCTCTCTTCTAGTTAGCAAAAATAATATATTTTGGTAATGAATTTTTTAATTAATTTATTTCAGTGATTTTATTTTTTTTTATTTATTTTAGCTGAATTCCCTCTAAAGTTCCAACTTTTTTTCTTTTTTGTCTTTCTAGAAAAATTATATTTAACTTAAATTATTAAGTTACATATATAGTGAAACTCATAATAAGATTATATAATTATTTAAGAAATATGTATATATATATATATAGATATTGTTGTAGATTATAATTTAAAATCATCAATATAATATAATATATAATATATATTTTGGTAACAATGATAATAATAAAATCAAACATATCCTTTTAATTCTTCTAGAAAATGTTTCTTTTAGATTAATTCGGTTATATTGTATAAACATAAAATTAATTAAAAAAAATTACTTGCAACTTATTTGAAAAAATTCAAATTTAAAAACCATTCCTGTTTTTTGAATTTCGATAAATGAGTTGTATAAAATAGAATGAATTAAAAGAAATATTTTATTATTTTTATATTAGTTGACCATGACTTTTTTCCAAGGAATCAAAGATAATAAAAGAAATATATACAAAACAAATAAATATCTCATTAAAAATAAGTAACTATATTAAAAAATAATTATTTTTAAATACCTGCAAGTTTTATAAAATATAAACAATACTTGTAATTATATTTACAAATATTTTTTAAATTTTAATTTCTTATTAATTATCTTACAAAATAATGATTGAAAGGAATTATCATTGAGTAATGAGATGTTGAAGTTTATTTATTTATTAATTATTAAATTTTAATCAAGAATTTTATTTTTTATTTGATGCTTTAATCGAGAATTTTACTGTTCAAACAATTAAAAAAAACAATAAAATTTATTAATTACATTAGAGTAAAATTTAAGCAAAATTTTCCGACTTGGCCCAAAATGTTATAAACACGGCCCAAAATGTTTGTATTTTGTTGAATATATAATTATAATTATAACGTCCTTATAAATATTTAAATTATAGTTGAGATCAAATTTTATTATTTTAATACTATTATATCTATACTTTTAATAAAAGATATATATTTTTTAGTGTATACAATTTTGGATTATTTTATTTTTATAATTTTTTGTATTATATATCATTTATATCCTTTATAATTATCTAGAAACTGTTTTTTTTACTAACTATAAATTATTATTCAATCTTAATGAAATTTAATTTTACTTTATTTTTATTATTTAAAAGTACACAAAAATACAAAAGGTTTTTCTTACACTAATTTAATTAATTAAAATACGCGTAGAATAATATAATTAGAATAAGCAAGATAAGTAACAATAATATTAAAGAGAAATCTATGGTATTTAGACAAAATAAAAATTTAAACCTTTCTTAAATAATTATGTTCATTGTGCAAGAAAGTATAAATTTAAAACTTGAATGAGACATTGTTACTCATAATTCTTTAAACTTCAAACATAGATTAATTTAAAAATATTAGCATCTAGATTTTACAAATAATGTCTAATTAATGCTTACAATGTGATCAAGAAATGAAAAAAATGAACATTTTTAGATCAAGAGATGAAAATATTTTACATTAGAGAATCATTTCAAAACAAATTGTCAATCAGGAAGTATAGAAGATCCTCGTAGATTAAGATAGCTCGAGCGACATCTTTTACTAGAATACATTTCTCCACATGCAACTACTCCATGATAACATCAAACCTTACAACAAGCCCCTGTTGGGATTTGCAAGCAAACAAGTCAGCACAAAGGGCTACACACGACTTTTAACCAAATTTGGTAGTGAAAAATATACCAAGTCATTAAATGTGAAATTTTTGTTGGTAGTTGTTGTGACTTCCAACAATGTCACACTCAGATGACCCTCCCTAAACACCCTAGGGGTCATGATTTATGCACCTCATCTTGCAATGAAGTTTTTGACCATTGATAGAAAAATAGTCACAATTTGAGTAGACTAACACATAACATTGAAATACTACGCCGAAGGCTTGAAAATCACTTCAGGACACACGACCGATCTAACCACTTTTGGCCTCACAATACCTCAAAATCTCTAATTCAAATTAACGCATGTCAACGAATTTCGTATTACTTTTCCTATCTTAGTCTTTTTTTCTTCCCTTATTTAAAGTGTTATTGGCTAAGAAGATTTTAATAAGACACCCCAAGCCTGAATAACTCTTACATATCAATAAAAATTCCCTATTTGAATTATCACTTACAGTAGTATACGCGCACAAATTTCAAATTACCGAGTTCCATCACAAATTTCAAGCATACGCACTCTTGCGATTCCTAAGCAAACACATTGTCGTGACTTAACATCGGCCTACCAAGCTCCATCATGATTTCTAAGTAGATGCACTTTCATGATTTAACCTCGAACTCCCAAGTTCACATGCAATTTCTAAGTAAACTAACTCTCATGATGACCAAACACTTGAGCTCTAAGTTAGTTGTTGTGATTTCAATAACGTCAGCTTCATCTTAAAGTTAGTTGTTGTGATTTCAAGTGTGACAATGCTAGAAAAGTGCTTGGGACCATGAGGAGCAGCATAGTCCCCAAGAGTCATTCTTGGTATCTCACCCACCATTTTTGTCTCCTCTGAAATTGAGGGAAAGATAATGAAAGTAGATAAGGTAGACTCTTTTTTATGTGCTTGCTTGGCTAGTGTCCAAATCCTTACTGCACCATTGTTCCTTTGAGCTATTTTTCGATTTTTAGGTCCTAAGAAAGTTCACTAGCAAAATGATACCTCACATACATAGGAATTACAATACTAGAACAAACAAGTCAACAATAGAAAGGTAAATAATTAAGAATGAAAAAAAAAAGGAAAAGAATAAAAGAATCAAATTCTAGATTAGTAATCAAAGTGAATTTGCCATAAGTATTGCGACACAAT